TCTCCCCACCCCTCCCCCACATGTGGTCTCTCTCTCTCTCTCTCTCAGGTCATGACATCAAAGTCGTGGGATTGAGCCCCGCCATCAGTCTCTGCACAGTGTGGAGCCTGTGGATTCGCTCTCCCCCCCTCCCTTCCCTCTCCACCGCTGGAGTGTTCTTTCTCTAAAATAAAATAAATAAATAAAAAGCATTGTTTTTTCATTTAGAATCTGAGAATTTAGATGCCTTTTAATTAAAACATCAAGAGTAATAAACTTGTGGGAAGAATTTAATTATGAAGTCAATTACTTGTTAAATTTAAGACTCAAATCTCTTCCTATGGCTTTCATCACAAATGGAACCATTATAAGTTAAAATAACCAAACATTTTGTTTTTTCAGTTTGAAGCTTTATTATGTCACAAGAGAAAGAGGGGGAAATATCTGTGCACCTAATGTTCAAAGTACTCTTGAACCATCAGTGAAGAAGTCAGGATTGATTTGACTTTTTTTTTTCTTTAATTTTTTTAAATGTTTTTTTGTTGTTGTTTATTTCTGAGAGAGAGAGCGTGAACAGGGGATGGTCAGAGAGAGAGGGAGACACAGAATCCAAAGCAGGCTCCAGGCTCTGAGCTAGCTGTCAGCACAGAGCCCGATGCACGGCTCGAACCCACAAACTGTGAGATCATGACCTGAGCCAAAGTCGGATGCTTAACCGACTGAGCCACCCAGGCACACCAGGATTGATTTGGCTTTTGAGGTTGGTTCATAGTGGGTCATAGCGTGGTTCTATCATAGTTCCCTTTTTGGTGGCTTTTTAATTAGATGACTGGGGTCATGGAGAGCATTAACATGGGCATACTTGCCTCTTATTCACTTTTACAGTAGCAGGTACTTGTGTTTGTTTTGGCTTGCTTATTTTTCATTTTAAATATTCTGATGTACCTGCTCAATCATGATGACATAGGTGGAAAACAGATGACTAGTATCTAGAATTCTGAAAATTCTGCCTATACCTGCTGTCGTGCTAGATCCCTGAAGAATAAGCACTGAGGCCATATACATATGTATAAATATAAATATATAAATGGAAGCCATTCCTCCTAGGGCTTTGGCCCCTGAATCTATTGTAAGCTAGCCTAGCCTCAGGGCTCATGGCCCTGATGGTCTACCTCCTGGAGGACAGTAGCACATAGGAAAAAAGAAGAGTAGCTTTAACTACTTAGGATGGAAAGGAGTCCCAGCCAAGTTGCTAATTCAGGGAGAGGCAAAGACCTTCCCCTCAAGAGCTCAGACCTGGAACTTTTGTGTCCTGGGTTACATTTTTTTTTTGATATTTATTTTTGAGAGACCAAATACGAGTGGGGGAGGGGCAGAGACCAGGAGACACAGAATCTAAAGCAGGTTCCAATCTCCAAGCTGACAGCAGAGAGCCCAGTGTGGGGCTCAAAATCATGAACCATGAGATCATGACCTGATGCTGAAGTTGAATGCTTAACTGACTCAGCCACCCAGATGTCTGCATCCACCCTTGTTTGTTAAGCTCAGGGCTCCCTGTGCCAAATGTTCTTTGTTGTCCTTTTTACCAGTTTGTTTCACTGAAATGATATTTGTTAAACCTTCTTATATACCAGGCACAGGTGCATAGTACATAAAACAGCTAAAAAAATCCTTGTTGTGGAGCTCACAGTCTAGTGAGGTAGCAAAAAATGTCCCCCTTTCACAAATCCTCCTCCAAGGCATACATTACCCCCAACTCTCCTCCTCTTACCAAAACTCCACCCTTACTACAGTGGTATAATTGTGTTCATTTTGTTCTTGACCGACATAGTTGGGTTTTTTCCTTTGGTTGGTTATATGATGTCAATTTAAAGATAAGAGTGGAGGAATGCCTGCCAATATTTAGTATGGGTGGGTAGCAGAGGTGTTTAAGTAAAACACAGTGAGACAAGATTTATACACTACTTTTAGATTGTTGTGAGAACAAATTGGGAATATAGTTAAGCAGAGGATAAAGATAGGAAGATAACTGGAGGAAAGGCAGTGTAGACAACTGCTTTGAGTATCTACAGTGTGTTGAACCTTGGTAGAGGTTGTGGGGAGTGATTGTTACCTAAAAATACTAAAAGATAAGTTAGTACTGACTTATTTGGAACTAGCATGGCAAAATACAAGTATTAGACTAGAAATCAGTATAGCCAGATTTTCTAGTAAGTACCTGGAATAAAGCCATCTTTCTACGCCTCAATTCCTTTGTAGAATGGGAATAAAACTAGATCAGTGAGTGGTTCTCAACACTGTACATTAAAAACACCTGAGAATCTTTTACAATTCTGTCTTTGGAGGGTAGGGGTCGGACCTCTTTTCAGATGCTTGGATCACTATTACCCTGGGTCTAGATTAAGAACCACTGCATTGAATCATTGGCATTTCTAACTGTGACTTCATAACATCTTAGGAAATAAGCATAGCATCCCATTAACCATTATAGCTATAGAAATATGCATATAAAAGGAGTTGTTGGAGTGATTAATGTTAAGATATCAATTAAGAGGGGCACCTGGGTAGCTTTGTCGGTTAAGCGTCCGACTTTCACTTAGGTCATGATCTCGTGGTTCGTGGGTTCGAGCCCCGCATCGGGCTCTGTGCTGACTGCCAGTTCAGAGCCTGGAGGCTGTTTCAGAGTCTGTGACTCCCTCTCTCTCTGACCCTCCCCTGCTCATGCTGTCTCTCTCTCTCTCTCTCTCTCTCTCTCTCTCTCTCTCTCCTAGAAATAAAAAAAAAAACCTAAAGTATCAATTAAGAAATACATAGCAAAGATGTAACAGTGTTCTTTTGCAATTAACTTCTTTCATTTATTTTCCTGCAGTTTTTAAGAGTATTAAATTTTTTTCTATAGGTATTTAAAAATGCCACTTAATAAGCAGCTTTGAATTTCCACATCAGCAACACATTTCAGTTGCTGTTTATTGTTATTGGAAGATTTCTTTGCTAACCCGTAGACTTATAAATGAACATAACCAGTGGGGCCTGGAAAAATCTGAGCATCCTCATCAATGCAGTGGTACATGCTAGCCTTCAGGAAGTGTGATGAGGACTTTTATTATACTGGTGAATATTCCTTATTTCCCAAAGGATTGCTTCTAAGATACTGTCTGTATTTTCCCTTCATTCTTTTATGTAATTAAAAACCGAGGTAATAGAGGTTTACAGAGGAGCATGTTGTTTTTAGTTCTGAAATCTTACTTGGAAAGAAGTTACCTGATACTTGAATTCTTTCCTCAGTATCCTAGAAAAACAGTTGTCTAATCCATATTCGAATCTTTCCATTATCTGGGAACTCACTCTTGAATAAGCTACTTTTAATGTTTATTTATTTTGTGTGTGTGTGAGAGAGAGAGCATGTGTATAAGTAGGGTCGAGGTAGAGAGAGAGAGAGAGTTCCAAGCAGGCTCCACCCTCCGTCACCTGAACCATAATATCATGAGAGAGGGAGAGAGAGAATCCCAAGCAGGCTCCATGTTCTATCATCTGAACCATGAGATTGTGACTTGAACCAAAATCAAGGGTCAGATGCTTAACCACCTGAGCCACCCAGGTGCCTCTTGGGGAAGCTTATTCTATCTTTGGAAAGCTTTGATCATTAGAAAGTGTCTTGCTGTGTTCTGTTTTTAATTTGAGAAAGAGTTAAAATCTGATTCGTCTCAAGTCCCTTGGGGCCATAGTAATACCTGTTTTTTTTTTCATTCTGAAAAATTCTTCAGTTGATTGATGACAAGGCTCACATCTTGGTTTTTCTCTGGCTAATTACATCTGTCCTCTGGCGCTTTTTGTGTAACTTGGTGTTGAAACACTATGTCTAATTTATTTATATCCCTTTTGAAATGTATTAGCATACAAAATGTATGGTTTTTTAAAAAAATTTTAGTGTTTACTTACTTTTGAGAGAGAGAGAGAGTGTGAGTGTGTGGTGTGTTGGGGAGGGGTGCAGAGAGAGGGAGACACAGAATCTAAAACAGGCAGGCTCTGAGCTGTCAGCACAGAGCCCCAACACGGAGCTCAAATTCAACGGACTGTGAGCTAAAGTCAGATGCTTAACCAACTGAGCCACCCAGGTGCCCCAAAATGTATGTTTTAGAAGAGAGGGGTTTGCTAGCATTTAGCAAGAGATTTCTGTCTTTGCTCTCATACTACATCCCATAAGTTGATTTATCCCAGTCACTCCACACTGTAACCCTTTTGGAGTTTTATTTATCTTGGGGGAGAGAGAAAGTTACTGTGCGTGCATATGCACGTGCACATGAGCAGGGGAGAGGCAGAGAGAGAGAGAGAGATCAGCATAGCTGACCAGCATTCTTTTAGCATAGAGCCTGATGTGGAGCTCAAACCCACAAACTGTGAGATCATTACCTGAGCCAAAACCGGGAGTCAGACACTTAACCAACTGAGCCACCCAGGTGCCCCTACATGCTTGTTAATAGGGTTAGATACTGGTTCTTTGTAGACTTATACTGAGTCTTAATAAATTTCTTTTTACTAGTTCAACTACAGTCTTGTCTGGAATCCATATTGAGGTTACTAGTCTAATGTTTTGAGGACTCTATCTTTATTCGAAAATCAGAATGTTCTTCAAAGAATACTGACTATAATTCAGCAATCTGATTTACATATTCTTCTTTATTTTAAATTAATGTTATCTCTTCTGTGTAAGTGGGTAAGTGAAATAGGTTTTGATATAGAAGCTAGAAGGTTTTTTTAGATTCTGGCAGTTATCCTTGTCTGTTTGTTCTTAAGTACAAAAGTGATCACTTCTTCCATCTGCTGGTAGACGGAATTGATGTGTTTTTTTTTGTTCCTGGCACCAAGTTTATACTTGTCTATGAAATTTTGTAATTTGGAAGTCTGTAAATAAAGAAGCACCTGTAAGACTTAATATGTCATTTGCAGAAAACTGTGGTATTTAATGAATTTTTGCAAAATGTGATTACTCTTTTAATAATATGACTTTTTCTTTCGCCTAGAGAATGGATCTTGGAGAATGCCTGAAAGTCCATGACCTGGCTTTAAGAGCAGATTATGAAATTGCATCCAAAGAACAAGATTTTTTCTTTGAACTTGATGTATGTGATTTTGCTTTAATGGGCTAGATTATTTTTTGCAGTAAAATATTTTGAATATGGATTAATATCTCTACAGGAAAAGGTTCTTAGCAAATTATCGTTTTGGTTATACGAAGGACAATGCTAAATTAAGATCCTGTGCTTTCTTGATTAGCAACATTTCTTTTTAAGACTTTTTATTTTTTTTTTTTTTTTTAAGTTTATTTATTTATTTTGGGAGAGTAGCACAGGCAGGGGAGAGACAGACAGAAAGGGAGAGAGAGAATCCCAAGCAGACTGTGGTGCCACTACATAGCCTGACGCAGGGCTCAAACTCACAAAACCATGAGATCATGAACTGAAACCAGGAGTCAGATGCTTAAATAAGAGAGCCACCCAGGTGTCCTGATGAGGAGCATTTTTTTAAAAATATAAAGTGAAACTGGGTTTTAAGAAAATGTGTAAAAATTATGCAGTGCATATATTCTTTTGAAAAGTAAACTATTCTTTCCAGTAAATCCATAATGATTACAGAAACATCAATTTGAACATGAAAACCAACACATTTTTGATGTATATAAGGCCCTTTAATAATGTATAGAATTTTTACATTTTTATTTTTGTGTCTGTAAGTATACATATAGAAAGAGAGAGGGAGGATATTAAATACAGTGTGGATTTTTTAAAACTTATTTAGTTTGAGAGGGAGGGGGACCAAGAGGGGAGAGAGAATCCCAAGCATGCTCCATGCTGTCAGCGTGGAGGCCAACAGTGTGGCTTGATCTCACAAACCAGAGATCATGATCTTAGCTGAAATCAAAAGCTTTTCTTTTCCTGGGGAATTATTTAGATTTATTCCTTGCCAATTTGGTAGATGATGAATAGTATTTTTAATATTGAATCTTCTTTTGTTATTTTTTTAAATTCTATTTTAGCATTTAAAAATACACTTTTTGAATAAAGATATTTCTTAAGAAAATTGTTTTTTCTGGCAGTAATTATCTTTTAATTAAACTTTGCAGGCTATGGATCATCTGCAGTCATTCATTGCAGATTGTGATCGAAGAACAGAAGTGGCCAAGAAAAGATTAGCAGAAACTCAAGAAGAGATTAGTGCTGAAGTGGCTGCAAAGGTAAGAATTTCAGTAATATCATTAGTACAAAGTATAGTTTCATCTCACTAATTTTAATTTTTTATTTTGAAATCATTACATGCACAGATAATAGAGACATATATAGGGAATTCTCTGAACTCTTCCTCTAGCCTCTTGTATGTTCACATCTTACACAGCTATAGTATAAGATACTCACATTGGTCCAATTACGACAATTTTTTCAGATTTTACCAGTTATGTGTGCTCATGTGTGTATGTGTAGCCCTGTAATTTTATCACGTGTGTAAGTAATTTGGGTAACTACCATCATAATTGTGTTACTTCACTGTAACATCAACCATGAGACTCCCTCATGTTACTTCTTCATAGCCACATCTGTTCCTCCTTTCCCCTGTCTTCTCCATCTCAATAGTTATGTTATTTTACTGAATATTATATAAATGGAATTATATATCCTTTTGAGAATGGTTCTTTTCATTCAGCACAGCTTCCTTGATGCCAACAGGGTATTGTGTTTAGTAGTTTATCCCTTTTTATTTCTGAGTAGTATTCCATGCTATGGATATATTACAGTTTAACCACACATTAAAAGATGTTTGGGTTGTTTCCAGTTACTGGTTAACACCAGTCAGACTGCAATAAGCATTTCATTTCTCTGGGATGAATGCCCAAGAATGCAATTCCTGGGTCATATGGTAACGTTCATTTTTAGTTTTGAAAATAGGTGCCGAACTTTTTTCTTTTGTGGCTGTACCATTTTATATTTCTGCCACCAGTGTGTTAATGATTTAGTTTCTTCACATCTGTATCAGCATTTGATGGTGTTGCTAATTTTCATTTTATCCTTTCTCAAAGATATATAGTGCTGTTTCTTGGTTTCAGTTTGCTTTTCCCTGATATCTAATGATGCTGAACATTTTTATCATGGGTTTATTTGCCATTTGTGTCTGTCTTTAGTGAAATATTTGTATGTCTTACACTCATGTTCCAAATGGGTTGCTCATTTTTTTAATGTTGACTTTTGACTGTTCTTCAGATTTTCTGTTACACCCACTACTTTAAAATAATATTTTGTTGTGAACTTACATGCAAAAAGTAGAAAGAAGGGTGGCTGGCTCAGTCGGAAGAGTATACACGTCTTGATCTTGGGGTTATGAGTTTGAGCCCACATTGGGTGTAGAGATTACTCAAATAAACTTTAAAAATGCAAATAAGAAAAATGAAGAAAAGTACAGTAAATCTCAGTGGACTTGTAGTCATGAGTTTTTTATTCATTTCGTTATTTTAAAAGCAAATTCTGTATGTCATATGATATCACCTCTAAAACATAACCGTAAAATCACATCCACAAAGCTAAGGATAATATTTTAATATTCTCTAATAACCAGAATGTGTTCATTTTTCCTATATAGAGTTGGTTTGTTTTAATAAGAATCCAGAAAAATTCCCTGTATTGCAATTTGTTGATTTGATGACTTAACTACTTTGTAACGTTCAAGAGAGTTTGTACATTTTATGAAAATGTAGAATGGAGGCAGAGTTACCCAGATAGTTTGGATAACAGCATTACATACAGTTCTTAGAGATGTTCATACAAAGGGAAATGCATTCCCCTCTTTGAGGAAAGGTCTTTTATTTATTTTAAGTAATCTCTGCACCCAATGTGGGGCTCAAATTCATGACCTTGAGATGAAGAGTTGCATGCTCTGCTGACTAAGCCACCCAGGAAAGGGTGATTTTTAATCAACTTTTTCTGAAAAGTTCTCTAAAGATACGATCCTAAAGTGCAAAGATCTGATAACTCATGGTTGAAAAAGACCCATCAGTGCTATCTTGGTTTATATGGCACTGTATTGGTTATTGATCACTACAGAAATGCTCCTTAACAAATTACCTCAAAATTCAGTGACTTGAAACAGTAAGTATTTAGCCCTTGAGTCTTTGATCAGTGATTTAGGCTTGGGGTGCCTGGATAGTTCAGTCAGTTAAGCGTCTGACTCTTGATTTCTGCTCAACGTCATGATCCATGAGATGGAGCCCCACCTCAGCCTTCATACCGATAGCATGGAGCCTGCTTGGGATTCTGTGTCTCCCTCTCTCTCTGCCCCTCCTTGCTCGTACTCTTTCTCCTTCTCAAAATAAATAAATACATTTTTAAAAGATGCTTTAGGCTGAGGTTGATTGGGAAGACTCACTCACATGTCTTCCAGTCATCCAGAGGCTACTTAACCCAGAAGCCTAGCCTAGCCGTGTTCTCATGGTAGTAGTAGAGGTGCAAAAAATGTCATAGCCCTGTTATACAAGTGGTTTACATGCCTTTCCTTCTCTCCTGTTTGCTGCTGTCCTATTAGCTAAAGCTAGTTCTGTGGCCAAATTAGAATCAGAATATGCTATTAGTAGTTATATAACAAAGAAATGGGTATAAGGAAAAGTGAAGAGTTTGGGGCATAATCCAGTTATTCTATGATGGATATTGAAAGGAAATACCACCTTGTCAAAGAGGTAGGAAAATGATAATAGCATTGAGAATTTCTTTTAGGGATGAGTATTTTGGATTGAAAGACATTTGAGAAGTTAAGATTATTGACATACTACTAGTTTGTTGGGACTGGATGTCCATATCATATTAAAATCTTTGCTAATATAATTGGCCACATGGCCTGAATACTTTGTGGCCAAAATAAAGACTGTACATGTATCATACACCAATAAACTAGTAGGAGTGAACTAACTACATTCTTAGGATGATGGTGAGGAGGAGGAGGACACGAATCCCAAGGAAAGAATTAATCCCAGTGGAAAGACATTTGCTAAGCCTAAGGGGGAAGGAGTGCTGTGGTTGTAAACTGAGTCAGTAATGTGCTGTGTAGTATATGTGCAAGACACATTTTCTCATTTCTCACAACTTAATGAGGTAGTAGTAGTCCTGGTTCTCAGATGAGGAAGTGGATTCAGGTTAAGTAATATGGTCAAATTTCCACATGTGATAAATGATTTGGCTATAAGCTAAAACTGTTGGACTAGAAAGTCACATCTTTGCCTTAAAGCATATGCACCAGTTCACTCCTATAACTCCTTTTTGAGCCTATGCTATTTTGGGGCATTGAAAATATATATATATATATTTTTTTAAAGTAGTATGATATGTATATAAAAGTAGTTGTTACAGAAGATAGAAAGATGATACTAAGGGCAGTTTGGTTCTCTCTGCTTATGATTAAGTGGGGTGAGATATGTTGATTGATCAAGAATGCTTCACATAGGGGCACCTGGGTAGCTCAGTTGGTTAAGTGGCTGACTTTTTTTTTTTTTAATTTTTTTAATGTTTTATTTATTTCTGAGAGAGAGAGAGACCTGGCATGAGCAGGGGAGGGTCAGAGAGAGAGGGAGATACAGAATCTGAAACAGGCTTCAGGCTCTGAGCTGTCAACATAGAGCCTGATGCCAGGCTCAAACTCACAAACTGCGAGATCATGACCTTAGCTGAAGTCGGCACTTAACGGAGCTACCCAGGCGCCCCAACTTTCTCCCTCTCTTTCTGTCCCTCCCCCTGCTTTCGCTCTATTTCTTTAAATAAACAAACAAACATTAAAGAAGAAAGAGGAATGCTTCACAGAATAACTGGATCAGACAAGGGGATGTAAGGGATTGTATCGGATGATAGCCCTCTCCAAAGTCACAGAGGCAGAAATTAAGAATAAATTTGGGAAACTAGATATAACTAATAGATTGTGTTATGAAGTGGGGAAACAGCAAGAGATGGTTCAGAAAGGTACATAGGGCCAGATGGTAGGAAGAAAGGTATTTTATAGTTGGAATACACTGACAAAGCAGAGGTTTGAAAGTAATAGTTTTTAAATTGAGATCATTTGTATTCCTGACGTCACTGTATTATATGCTCAGAAAGCATTATTTATACTCCTGTTACATTAGATAACTTAAGTTCTTTTCTGAGCATTTATGAAATATTTTGAACTTGGATAATTGTGCTTTTTATTCATGATTTACTTTTCTGATTCTTTCTAGGCAGAACGTGTTCATGAATTAAATGAAGAAATTGGTAAGTTGTTGGCCAAGGTGGAACAACTAGGAGCTGAAGGAAATGTGGAAGAATCCCAAAAAGTAATGGATGAAGTAGAGAAAGCAAGGGCAAAGAAAAGAGAAGCAGAGGTAATGGTATTCTTAATGGTATTATCTAGAGTCTTACTGTCTATACTTCTAACATTTAATTAGAAATTACTGAAAATTAAAGACAATTAAAAACTTAATTAGCTGCTAGTGGATTGTGTATCAAAAGTTGTGGATTTGTTTGTTTTACTTTAGAGCCATTGATATGTTGAAATTTGTAACTAGTAAATTAAATGAACCGAACTAGCTAGTCATACACAAGTCACACACACATAACACAGAGTGTATAAATGTCACGATGATACCTTCCACTCCCACAACTTAACACCATGCAACCATTGCATTCTCTTCCCATCTTAGTACAATGTAGTATTTTGGGAGCCTCTTCTCATGCTTTCTTCACAGCACAGGTCAGAATCTAATATCTGCAGACAAAGTTCTATTTTGTTTTGCCCACCTGAAGTTTTTTTAGAAAGTTGGATGCCTTCAGATTGGGTTGTATTCTCCAGCTTTACCATAGTCTCCATTGTTCTAACTGTATCACACTGCGGTTTAATTTTTTCTTACTCTGTCCTTAGCTTAGATAACTGTTTTCAGCCCATTTAATGCTATACATTTTCTTCCACACATCCCACAGATTCATATGTTATATTTTTATTTTCATTCAGTGCAAATATTTGCTGATATTGCTGTGATTTCTTCTTTGACTTACGGGTTATTTAGGAATATGGTTTTATATATTTGTTTTTTCTGAATATTTTTCTGTTCTCATTTTAATTTAGTTCTTTTGCAGTCAGAGAACATTGGTGTGATTTTAGGTCTCTTATATATGTAATTGCTTGTTTTGTGCCCTAAGTTTAGTCTTGATAAATGTTCCATCTGCATTTTAAAAGAATGATATTCTCCCTTGTTAAATGGAGTATTCTATAAATGTCAGTTGAATCAGGATAGTTGGTTAATTATTAGGTCTTACATATCCTTTTGATTTTCTATTTATTTACTGAGAGGATTATTGAAGTCTCTACCTCTAATCGTGGATTTGCCTGTGCTTTCTGTTTTGTCAGTTTTTTCTTCATGTATTTTGAAAGTCTATTACTAGGTTAATATACCTTTAATTTTGTTGTGTCTTTTTGAGTAATTGAGCCCTTTATTATTTTGAATTGTTTTAGTAATGTCTTTTGCTTTGAAATCTTTGTCTGACTTATAGTCTTTTTAGCTTTCTTTATATGTTAGAGTTGTATACTATAAATTCTAGAGAAACCACTAGAGAGGAAAAAAGCGTAATAGTAGAAATAAAACGGAATCCTAAAGAATACTTAATCCAAAAGAAGGCAGGAGAAAAAGAACAAACAAGATTAGACATAGAAAAAATAAGTAGCATAATGGTAGACTTAACCTAGTGTACCAATACTTATGTTTAATGTAAATGGTCTAAATATTCCAACTGAAAGGCAGAGGTGGTGAGACGGAATTTTTTTTAAAAAGGAAGAGCTAGCTATAAGAAATCTACTTTATTATTTTTTTAAGTGTTTATTTTGAGAGAGAATGCATATGAGTAGGGGTGGGCCAGAGAGAGAGAGATCCATGTAACCTTTCTTGGTAAGTTTGAAGTCTTAGTATTTAGGATTTCTTTATTTTTTTAACTTATATTTTATATTTTTATTATTTTTTTAATAGAATTGTCAAGTTATCTAACATACAGTGTATATTGTACGCTCTTGGCTTCGGAAATAGATTCCCATTATTCATGGCATACATAAAACCACCCGGTGCTCATTCCCAACAAGTGCCCTCCTCAGTGCCCATCACCCATTTTCCCCTCTCCTCTGCCCACCCCTGCCATCAGTCCTCAGTATGTTCTTTGTATTAAGAGTCTCTTATGGTTTGCTTCCCTCTTGGTTTGAAACGTTTTTTTTCCCTTCCCTTCCCCCGTGGTCTTAGGTTAAGTTTCTCAAATTAGGATTTCTTGAAATGTAATTAATATCAATCCAGAAAATAAACGCTATGAATTTTTAGTTTTCAGATGTTTATTTTGAGAGAGAGCACACACATGAGCAAAAGAGGGGCAGAAAGAGAGAGAGAGAGAGAATCCCAAGCGGACTTCTCATTGTCCTCACAGAGCTAGATGCAGGACTTGATCTCATGAACTATGAGAACATGACCTGAGCCAAAATCAAAAGAGACCCTTAACTGACTGAGCCACCCAGGTGCTCCAACACTGAATTTTTAAATGCAGAGTATTTTATTTTTTTAATTTATATTTTATTGCAGAGTATTTTATAGCTCATTTCCTCAAAAGACTCCGATAATGAATGTAGTGACATTATTACTTGCATATTTTGTTTTCATGAAATTTCGTACATATGTTATTTGAAGATTTTCTAGTATCATACAGTGGCTTAACATCTTTAACCTGTTATCTTTTGTCTACAGTTGATTTTTTACTAAGGACAGTGCTTTAAAAAATGTGCTTGCCTGTTGTAGATTGTGTTCGACTGCACATAATAGAAAACTCAACGGTGGGTTAACCAAAAACACGGTTTTGTTTTTCTCATCTAGTAAATACTCGTGGTTGGGGAGTCTAGGGCTAGTACAGCAGCTCTGTGATTCCATCTAGTATACAGGCTACTTATAGCTTTATGTTCGGCCATCCTTACTATATGGATTCATCTTTATCTTTTTTTGATGGCAATATGGCCACTATGCCTACAGCCTCTTCTTTGCGTAGCTAGAAAGAGGAATAACAAGGCACAAAAATTGAGTGGACTTGCCTCTGTGTGTCTTGCGTTTGTGTTTTTCTTTTTTAAAAACTTGTATTTTGAGGGGTGCATAGTTAGCTCAGTTGGTTAAGCATCCAACTTCGGCTCAGGTCATGATCTCACGGTTCGTGGCTTCAAGCCCTGTGTCGGGCTCTGTGCTGACAGCTAGCTCAGAGCCTGGAACCTGTTTCGGATTTTGTGTCTCCCTCTCTCTCTGACCCTCTCCTGCTCACACTGTCTCTATCTCAGCAATAAATAAAAAAACATTAAAAATTAAAAAAAAAAAAAAACTTTTATTTTGAAATATTTCCAGGAAAATAAAAGAAATAGTGTAAGGAATTCCTCTAGATCCTTCACCCAGACTCCAGATACTAACATTTTACCACATTTGCTTTGTCTTTTCTCCTCTTGTATGTGTATGGACTCTTCTACATTAAGTTATAGATGTGATGCCTCTTTATCCCCCAGTACTCCAATGTGTATTTCCTAAAAACAAGGATATTTTATTACATAAACACAATACCATTATTTGAATCAGAAATTATCAATAATACAACACAGTTAATCTGAAGACTTTATTCAGATTCTTCTGAATTGTCCCAATAATGTTCTTTCTTTATTCAATTTTTTTTTCTTTAGGGGGGTCCCCTAGATGTCTCAGTTGTTGGTTAAGTGTTGGACTCCTGGTTTTGGCTCAGGTCATGATCTCACGGTTTGTGGGTTTAAGCCCTGTGTTGGGCTCTGTGCTGATGGCGCAGAGCTTGCTTGGGATTCCCTCTCTTTTTTTTTCTCTCTCTCAAAATCAATAAATACACATAATTTTTTTTTTCTTTGTTTAAGGTCCAGTTCAAGATCTTATACTGCATTTATTTGTTCATGTTCCTCTAGGCTGCTTTAATGCGGGGCTTCAACCTTTGACATGATCTACACAGTTTTGAAAAGGATAAGCTAGTTATTTTGTAAAATGTTCCTCAGTTTTGGTTTGATTTTTCTTCCTAGTTAGATTTTTGACAGGAGTACCACCGAAGTAATGTTATACTCCATCATAAGGCACATGCTAGTGATTTGTCCCATTTCTGGTGATCTTGCCTATTTTTCCACTGTGAAGTTGCAGTGCTTTCCTTTTTGTAATTAATATCTTGGTATTGACACTTTTTGTTTAATGTTTATTTTTGAGAAAGAGAGTGTGAGCGGGGAAGGGTGAGAGAGGGAGACACAGTATATGAAGCAGCCTCCAGGCTCAGAGCCTGATGCGGGCTCAAAGTCATGAATGGTGAGATCATGACCTGAGCTGAAGTCGGATGCTTAACCGACTGAGCCACCCAGATGCCCCTTGTATTGACAGTTTTGAAACTAAATATTGTTTCCCATCACTTCTCATGTGCAGGTGATAACAGACATTAGTGATTTTTTTTCTCAGCTTCCTGACTCCCTTTGAAAGAAATTTTCTATATATTCCCACCAGCAATGTCCAAATATCTCTATCTCTGAAGCAAGAGCTCCATGGAGGCTTGGAAATAGAATGCTTTCGTTTTTAAGTTTTATTTATTTACTTACTTATTAACTTATTTACTTATTTATTTATTTATTTAGAGAGAGCACACCTGCATGCTCAAGCACAGGTGGGGATCAGAGAGAGGGGGAGAGAGAATCCTAAGTAGGCTCTGCACCGTCATCGCAGAGCCCGATGTGGGGGCTCTATCTCACAAAACATGAGATCATGACCTGAGCTGAAATCAGGAGTTGAACACTTACCCGACTGATCTACCCAGATGCCCCAGGAAATGTAATGTTTTTTTAGGTGGCCATGTGGCTGCATCAAACAAAAAGAATATTTTCAGTAAGGAAAAATGGTTGGTTGAGTATAAGACCTCTTACTCTCATTAAGGTACCTCCTCTCATTGTTTATAGAACTATTCCTCCTAGTGGGAAGTCTTATCATTTATTTGCCCTGTCCACATTTCCAAAGGGGAAAGAAATGGCCTGTGGGGAAGAGGGGAGTGGAGGGAAACTGTAATAATACTGAAGACATTCATTCCCTCTCTGCCAGTGTGGGTGACTTCTTCCTTGATCCTTCACTGATGTATATAGTTTTGGGGTTGCTGCATCTCATTTTTAACAAAAACTGCAGAAAACAAAACCCAGAACACTGAGAAAGCCTTTCCAAAAGTCATTTTCTGTGTCATGGTAGAATTCTTACAGTGGTTCTTAGCAAAATACAGTTCAAGCTCTGATCTTTTACCTCTGTTGTTGAGGTCCTGAGAACAGAAGATGGAGTAATGGGGAACCCATGACTTTCATGACAAAATAGCCATACTTTTGTGTGTTCATTAGAAAACTTTTTTTTGTATGTACCTGGTATATTTTGTGTAATGGTATGACTCTCAGGTTTATATGAATATTGTTTTTCTCACTTTTGTTCAGGAAGTTTATCGGAATTCTATGCCAGCTTCCAGTTTCCAACAACAGAAACTTCGAGTCTGTGAAGTCTGCTCTGCCTATTTAGGTCTTCATGATAATGATAGACGACTGGCTGATCATTTTGGGGGTAAACTGCACCTGGGATTTATTGAAATAAGAGAGAAGCTTGAAGAATTAAAGGTACATTGGTAAATTAATATCTTGCACTTTTGTTTTGATATGTATTAGTTCTCATTTTGCAAAATATCCTGGCTGTAATTGTACTAACAATTCCTACTGAATAGAGAGTATTGTAAATGGAGAGAACAGTTGGTTTAATGGATGATGTCTGAGAAACAGACTTTAAATACTGTCCCCTTATTTTGGGGGATAGTATTTTGTGTTGGATATGACATTGAATTAGGAATCTTGCAAATTGGGTTCTAAACTAATTATATAAACTCCCCTCAAATTTTTTTCTTTTCTATAAAATAAACAGTATAGTATTTCCTTTAAAGGAAGATTGAGAAAATGAGTCTAGTATTTATTTGAAACATTTTGCAGTTCTTCACGTAATAGCAAGCTAGCACCTCTAGTTTTATTTTATGCTCCTACTCCCATTTCAGAAAGAAATTAGAATGAAACCTATCTTTAAAAAAAAGACAGTAACTATCATTTACATATATATACATTCTTATGAATATACACTTACTCATGTTCTTACTTATGGGCTGAATTCTTTTGAGAAGACAGGCAAACAGCAAACATGAGGGTATTTCTAAAGAGGTTAAAGATCAGAGTAAATGAATATAGTGAACTTAGTTTTGAACAATCTGATGCAGCTAGTTTTTTAATTGTGGCACTATAACATTTTGTTATAAGTGGAAGACTGGATCAAGGGTGGCAATCACTGGATAGTGACTTTTATTACTGAAATTAACCCAAGATCTGTAGTTTCATATTTAAAATGTGGTGTCAGAAACACTTAGGGACATCTCCATATTTGTAATTAACAGTGAGCTCTTCGAAGTATTTTGAGTGGCTGGATGATTTTGGGCAAGTTTTAATGACTTTCATTATTTCAGATGGTTACTGAGCTCTGAGTTAAAAATAAAAAATAGTACTGTTTGGGAATCTTTGCAGATACAGAGCTAGCAACAGGACTATTTAGTGTTATATTGGTACTTTCTGAAGCAGCAGAATTGAGGTGGTAATAGGAAGTGACAGAAGACATTTTTATTTTGAAAATTATAGAGAATGGGAGCTTATAATGATTTATAACGCTTCATGTTCTTTAAAAAATACAAAATAGGTGGACCTAGCTGGCTCAGTTGGCATGGTATATGCCTCTTCATCTCAGGGTTGTGAGTATAGAGATTACTGAAGAAAAAACTTGAAAAAATGCAAAGTAATGCTTGAAAATATTCAAAGGAGAAAATTCTTATAGAAATGATTTTGAAATATTAAGTCCTGAAAAAACATGAAATTTACTATTGTTCTCCAAAAGGGGGAAAGACACATTTTGGAAACTAGACTTGCATAATGATTTTACCCAGTAAAACTTGTCATTGAATTGTTATTAAACAGATTTTGATGTTACTTGTGCTATATTGGGAACCACATATCGTAGAGTGTAGGATAATTTTTATTAAGAATGGACTCAGTAAATAATACTACTCATTTTATATTTGAATTGTCATTGTCTTTTAAGAGAGTTGTAGCTGAGAAACAGGAGAAAAGGAATCAGGAACGCCTGAAACGAAGAGAAGAAAGAGAGAGAGAAGAAAGGGAGAAGCTGAGGAGGTATGGAGTGATTAATTGAATAGTCCAACTATCTGAAGTTGAATGTCCCTGGCTCTAAAAAGAGATGTGATTAATACAGGACTTTCAGTGTTAATAAATCTGGACATAGGAAATTTGTTGTTCTAAAAATATTATCTTGGAAACATGTTTATAAAAATGTTAACTTATGGCCCTTTAAGTCAAGGTGATTTCCTTCAACACGTGTGGAAGAGTGAATAAAGAGTCACATCCTTATTTTTTATAAGATTTATTACAGAGTTCTTTCTAGCCCTCTAGTTTTCATAATGGCTACGTTTGAACCAGATTGGTATAAAACTATTATTATTTTTGTGATACACTTTATTCTTGATAACAGTTTGGGTTTTGTTTGTTTCATTGATTTTCTTATATCGTGCTTTGATCCTATATTTCTTCAATTCTAGGAGCTATAAAACTCAATAATAGCTAAATGTATACAGTTTATATATTGGTATTCATTAGTTGATAAAATCATATTCTTCATATTTAGTGAACATTTAAACATTAATGTTCTGAGCCACTTTTACCCATTGGCAACAAATTGTGTGGCATCATGGTGGGAACCTTCTTTGAACTCAAGTACATAACTTTAACAATTTTAGGATGGACAGATAAGTCACAAAAGAATTATCTGTAGTTTAATTTATAGTGTAGTTCTAATTTATAGTGTTCCCTTAATTGTATTATACATCTATGAAATTTAAATGCTTTCCAGAAGATTTTGTGCCTAATTAAAACCCTTTATGGTATGTGACTCGGTCATGCCACCTTCTCCCAAGCTTTGAGCATGTTTTACGTGGTCTATTTAAACTAACTTTGTGTTATATGGGTTGTAGCAGGTAATATTTTTGCACTGTAGTGAAGAAATGAAACAAACCTACACTTCCCTTTTTAAGTGGAGTGCTGTCATACATCTGTTAATATAGATGTTCTTCATTTACCGTAAAATTTACCTCATAGCTCTATCACTATTTTGTGTACACTGAGTCTCTGTGGGATTATTGCTCAGCATTAGAAGACCATATAAATGCCATTAAAAACAACAGTTAAAGTTCTGAATATCGTGCCACTAATTTATATAATTCAACTGAAGTGATAGTTGAATGAGAAAAAAAATTCTTTGCCATGACTACTTTTTCACTTCTGTAGGTGACAAGAAAGTTTATCACATCTTACTCCTTTGTTGCCAGCTGGCAAATTTCTTTTAACATTGATGGTAAAATGTAACGCTATTTCAGAAATGTGTTTAAATTTTTCTTTTTTTTAATCTGTGAGCTTGAGGAAACATCAGAACTAAGAATGAAAGATGAAGAAATTACAAGCAAGTTTGGGGTTATACAAGATGGGATTCCAACTATGGTACTGAAAAGGATAACGATAAAAATTACTATTACTTACTGAGCGCCTGTTAGGTACCAGGCACTGTGCTATGAATTTGCCTACATTCGTTCATCTAATCCTTAAAACTCCCTGTGAAATTTATATTGCTTGCTTCTTTTGCAAATAACAAAGCTGAGGGAAGATATATAATATCTGTCCGGGTCACAGTTAGTGGTACAGCTGAGTTAAAACTTAAATCAGGAGGAGTCCAGAGCCCTCCTTCACTTGTGCTGTGTCTTCCCCACAATACTCATGGTTTCCGAGTAACCACAGTACTAGCTATTACTATTGCTTGAGTGTTAATTAAGTGCCAAGAAATGTGAAGAGTGCTTTAATAGTATCGTGTCATGTTAGGAAAGATGTTGTAAGATTGAATTGGGTGTTTTAGGGATTATACTATGTATGAGGTTGTAGTTCAGAAGTGAATATATCTCAGGGGCGCCTGGGTGGCTTAGTCGGTTAAGCGTCCGACTTTCGCTTAGGTCATGATCTCACGGTTCGTGGGTTTGAGCCCCGCGTCGGGCTCTGTGCTGACTGCCAGCTCAGAGCCTGGAGCCTGTTTCAGTGTGTGACTCCCTCTCTCTCTGACCCTCCCCTGCTCACGCTGTCTCTCTCTCTCTCTCCTAGAAATAAATAAAACATTTTTAAAAAAAAGTGAATATATCTCAGATTATAGAAATTTTACTCTGTTCCCAGAGGGAAAGAAGAAATGACAGAGAGATAAATAATGAATTTTTTCCAGGTTGTGGGAAATATTTTCTGGGGAATTAGTGAATGGTTATTTACTGTGTTTACTCCTAGGAACACATTTTTAAAAATTTATTATTGTTACTTTTTAATTAAAAAATTGATGTTGATGTTTATTTTTGAGAGAGACAAAGCATGGGTAGGGGAGGGGCAGAGAGAGGGGGACACAGAATCCGAAGCAGGCTCCAGGCTCTGAGCGGTCAGCACAGATCCTGCCACAGAACGATCAACGAGATCATGACCTGAGCTGAAGTTGGAGATATCACTGACTAAGCTACCCAGGTGCCCCTCCTAGGAGCCTATTCTTTTAGAAAGCCAGGTATCGCAGATAGGGGATCTCTTATGCTAAGGTGGGGAAGTCTGTACGGTTTGTTGTGTATTTTGGAAAAATTTGTGTGCATTCATACGTGCCTTATATTTATAGGATTAATAAAAGGATTAGAAATCGGGGTGCCTCGGTGGCTCAGTCAGTTGAGCATCTGACTGTTGATTTTGTTTGGCTCAGATCACGATCTCATGATTTGTGGGATAGAGACCTGCATCGGGCTCTGTGCTGACAGTATGGAGCCTGCTCCGGATTCTCTGTCCTCCATTCTGTCTGCACTTTCCCTGCTCTCTTTCTCTCTCTCAAAATAAACATTTAAAAAAAGAAGACTAGAAAACAGGAAGAATGTAATTTTAACAGTGCGATGTACTTTGTCCTCAGTCTATTTTTCTAAAAATAGATACTCTTTTTTCAGGTCTCGATCACATAGCAAGAATCCCAAAAGGTAAGTTTTACACAAAATATACATAAGTAGTGAAGTTGGATTTTTCCCAGAGGTAGTTTTTTTAGGTTAGGTATCTTTTTAAAATGAATGAGAATTAATAGTTTGGTACTCTTAATTCTTTTGTAGGTTCAAGTGTGGGCATTTTGTTTTAAGATGAAACTGGTCAGAACAACAACCTGATTTTATTGAAGTTAAAATTATATACAGTGCCCTGGAGTTAAAGAGAAAGCTAGAAATATTGGGGCACCTGGCTGCCTCAGTTGGTAGAACATGCAACTGTTGATCTTGGTTCAAGGTCCACTTTGGGCATAGAGCCTCCTGGACAAAAAAAGGGGGGAAAGCTAAAAATATTTTAGAATATTTCTTTAAAATCCTTAGAAGTGCAGGCTAAATATGCGACAGAATATATTTTTTAAATAATTTTGGGTGGTACATGTAAGAAACAGCTCTAAGTAAGGAGGGTGTAGGGTTTACCTCTTGAAAATATAAGGTTGAAGGTTGAATAAATACTTGTTTTTGTTTTTTTTTTTTTAATTTTTTTTGTACTATTTATTTTTGAGACAGAGGAGACAGAGCACAAGTGGGGGAGGGGCAGTGAGAGAGGGAGACACAGAATCCGAAGCAGGCTCCAGGCTCTGAGTTAGCTGTCAGCACAGAGCCTGACGTGGGGCTCGAGCCCACAAACCCTGAGATCCTGAGCTGAAGTTGGACTCCTAACCGACTGACCCACCCATGCACCCCATTAAATACATTTTTGAAAGAGGGATCCATAGTGAGTTATTGAAGGGAAACTGAAACGTTTATTAGTTTATACCCTCATCTTCACTTTATGTGTGTATTACTTATAACTTTGTACTGAGATCAGAAAAATCTTTAAAGGGACACTTAAATCTTTCAAGAGGACAAGAGAACACTTTTTTTTTTTTAACCTTTAGCATTAATATTTGAGAGCTTTTTGAAGACCTGATTTAAAATTTTTAGTAGTTACTAATTTTCTAACTGAGAAAGGTGGGGAAGCATGGTGTACGTCGTAATTTTTAATTTTTTGTGTGCAGTTCTCATTCCTCTGCTTGAGCCATTCCTGAGTCCATTGCCACCTAGAATGCCCTTTCTCGTTCTTTGTCAGATCTTCGGATTTTTCTTGTTTAGATAACTTCCTGAAACCTTTTGAGTACGTTTATTTCTCAACAACTTTTTCCTGTAAACTAGAGTATTCGCTCTTATGAAAGAAAAACCTACATTTCTTTTAGATGCCCCGTAGTATTTTTTAAAGGATCTTTCAGTGATGTTTCTGTTCAAAACACTAAAAAACTAATAAAGGGGACCAAATGTGTTAGCCAGTTTATATTGTTATTTCTGAAATCTAGGATGAGAAGTAGAAACATTAAATGGTGATACTGTTCTTGTTTCCCCGTTGATTAATGCAAATTAGTCCTTTTGTTGAAAAGATACTTAAACTGTTTGTACATAGAACATCTTCAGATACTGAGGCCAGAAAGTTAGTTTCTACCATTGTACTCCAAGGCACTTTTCTGTACTTGCTCAGTCCTCTTCTCTGCCTCAATCTGTTTTTCATACATCAACCAGAATGAGTCCTTTAAAAAGTGAAATAAATTATGTCAGCCCTCTGTTCACATGCTCCAAAGGTACTCTGTTTCACTTACAAGAAGTGGAAATCCTCGCCATAGCTTTTAAGTAATCGATCTGAGACTGGGGTAGGTAGGTATCAGTTTATGTCTTGTGTCAGCAAATTTATTAAAAGTTCCCCCCTTGCTTTTTATATAATTTACCTTTGAGAGCATCCTAGTTTGAAGGATACGGTACTTGGTCATTCTGCCCTTAAAACCCCTGAATTATTCCCCTTGCTTTCTTCATTCCAGCCAAACATCTTTTAGTTCTTCAACATGCTAAAGTTTCCCCTGCCTCAGAGCTTTTGCACCTGTGTTCCTTCTACCTAAAACACCCTTCTTTGAGATGGCTGATTATCTTATTTCATCTTTGCTTAAGTGCTGTTTTCTGCCTGTTCTGTAAAAAGATTACAATCTTCTCTGTCCATCTTTACCTTTTTAATATAACCTTTCTTTACTGGCAACTTACCATTATTTACTGCTTACATATGTGTGGAATTCTTTCTGGAATAGAACCTTTGGAATTTTTTAAAAGAAATGAAAGTATGCATTGAAAGACAAGTTATTAGAGCTCAAAATGCATGACTAAACTAAATACCATTTAATTAAACTTGCATTGAATGAATTTTATGTTCTTCTCCCTATGCTGCTTTTCAGAGAGATTTTATTCAGTTGTATAAATACTCATTCAGCCATAGTTGATGTTGGGTCCACTCTGTATGCCTCCCTTTGACTATAAATGTTAAAATAAGTTGAATGCTTTTAAACTTGATTTAACAAAATAATCACTTGAAAATGAGCTCAGTTTGTAAATTGTATCAAATATACAAAGCAGTTGAATAATATGCTTTTGAATTTATTAAATTATGAGAAAACATCACATTTTTAAAGTGACTTTAACAGCTTTATTAAGGTATATTTTATAGAAGTTCACTCATTTTAAGCGTACAAGTCAGTCCTAAAAGTGAAGCCACAGTTGTGCAATGTCAAAGTCAAGTTTAGATCATTGCCATCACTCTGATAGTGACACTTACAACAAAGTTTCATACCTTTCCTCCTGCTTGTTTTCCCTCAAATGTTTTATGCCCCCTGCATGTGCCATTCCAACCCTTACCACGCACATGTTGGGAGTTTTGTGACCTAGTGGAGGTTCCAGAAGTGTTTTTCCTTCTCTGTACTCCTGTGTACTCTTAACATGGGAAAAACCATATATAATCTTTTGAGAGCTTTTTCTCCCAAATTAAGTAGTGCTTAAGAGAGAATAGTCTTACTGTGTTGATTACACTGTGACTAGGCATGTTGTGAACATTAAAACTTATTTTGATGGTCATATAATCTTTTTAATTCAGAGTTAGTAAATTATCCTAAACACTGTTCTTTCTTAAGCCTCTCCTCCCTTTTTTATTCATGTCCATCAGATACATACTTTGTTTCTGAAGTATACCACAAAGTCTTAGAAATTATTTAAATAGGGGTGCCTGGGTGGCTCGGTTAAGCGTCCAACTTCAGCTCAGGTCACGATCTCACAGTTCATGGGTTCGAGCCTCACGTCGGGCTCCGTGCTGACAGCTAGCTCAGAGCCTGGAGCCTGTTTCACATTCTGTGTCTCCCTCCTTCTCTGTCCCTCCCCTGCTCACGCTCTCTCTCTCAGAAATTAAAATATTATTTAAATGAACTACCAATCCGGATTATAAGTTATCTAGATAATACAATCCCTGGCATATGGTAGTGGTATAGATTGTTTTCTTAATTTTTATGATATTTATATATTGACCTTTAAGAACTAATGTTGCACTTTGAAGTTGTAGTATATAGTTATTTAATAGGTTAGCATTTTCTTTGGGTGTAGATTTAGCTGACTTGAAACAGAACTAGCATTAAGCTTACTAAGAGACTGTCTCTCTTTAAAGAGGCTTTAGCAAATGAGAAGTGCATTGCAAAGAAAGCTAGAAACTAAAGCAAATGGGTTTTGTAGGTCCAGGTCCAGAGAGCATCGCAGACACCGGTCTCGCTCCATGTCACGGGAACGGAAGAGGAGAACTCGCTCCAAGTCTCGGGAGAAACGCCATCGCCACAGGTCCCGCTCTAGCAGCCGCAGCCGCAGCCGTAGCCACCAGCGAAGTGGGCACAGTTCTAGAGACAGGAGCAGAGAACGATCCAGGAGGAGGTACTGAGGTGTCCATAAGAGGCTTTGGAACTACCTTTATTAAAGGTTTACACTTGGAATACTATTGGTTTGAAGCTTGCATCTGGTAACATGTACACATTTGTGTGTGAGTGTGTAACATTTTTTTCCCCTGATGATATGGATGAGTAGTTAAAAGAATATACTTAGGAGCCAGAGTAGGATATTGGAACCAGTATGGGCAGAGGTTATTGCTTTTTCTCTGCTTAGTGTGGCTTGGGGGAAAAAAACTTTATGGACAATTTTAGGTACCAGTACTCAGTTTTTTCAGTATGTATTGGCGAATTAAGGGCTTTAAGAAGTCCTTTCATTTAAAAAGTTTAATCTTTGTTTGACTTACTGTTTTCCAAACTTCTTTTGAGCTGGTGCACTTTTTCAGAGCAGACACATTCTGGTATATTGTTTAATCTGCGCTATAGGTATGCGTTGCTATGTACAGTTAGTTTGGTGGGGCAGGTTTAGAATCTTAAGGAGGTTAGACTTTCTTGGCATGGAAATTTAAAGGTTGCAAGGAATGTGGTATGTTTAAGGACCTGAAAATCTATTCAGGACAAAGGATTAGAATGGGGTGATGGAGCCTTAGCATACACAGGCTACATCGACCAAGCTCCCAAAACTTCTCAGGTCACAAGGTGGTCTTTAAAAGCCTGGTCATTTCTACGGCATATAAACCATGCTTAAAATTGCTTTTTTCATGACAGCTCTTAACTATATACGCGATAAATCTTTTTGAGTGCCTAGCACCTACTGGTCTTAAATTTTCTATTGATTACTCTCCATAAAGCCCATGAGAGAACCCACAAAAAGTGGTAAAATTTTTTGTTAGGGTTGGGAGGGAGGGAAGCTTTTCCTTGAAATCACTCACAAGCAGAGATAAATAGGCTTTCACTGAATATTTTCTTATATCCTTATGTTGTTCCAAGTAGGTCCCCCCGCTTCAGTGAGTTATGATTGACAAAATTATAAGATATTTAAGATGTACACTGTGGTGATTAGATGTATATACACATTATAAAAGGGTTCCTACCATTGGTTAATTAACCTTTTCTTCACCTGAGATGTTTGGGGTTTTTTTGTTTTGTTTTCTAAGTTCTCTTACTAGGAAATTAAGTAGTTCTTGAGTTAACTTTTAATCAGTAAGAGTTGTGTACTTGCTTCTTTACTAGGACTAGTTTAAAAAGTGTAACAGTTGAGCAACTTTATTCAAGTTAGAACACAAGACTAACGTCTTGGACGATAGACTGATCTCTTAAATAACAAAGAGTGCTAAAGTATACATCAAAATAATGGAGGAGTTTAGATGAGGAAAATAAAAAATGGGTTCAGATAGTAGGTAGGAAAAAGGCACATGCAGAGAATGAGGAGGGACATAGTTCCATAGTTACTAGAGTGATGTGCTTGCTGGCCATTCATCTCACACTCTTAAAATTGTGGACCCACAGTGCAGCGCCCAAAAAATGCATTAAAGAAAGGAATCACCCTAATGGTTGTTGGAAGGTCTAGAGGGTTTGTCTTGTGAACCTGCCCACCCGTCATTGTTTCTGGTATCTGTGATCTCTTTAATGTCTGTGTTGGGGATGGAGGGGAGGGGCGTGTCTCCTTACTGGGATTGTGTTATCCTAGTCTTTAATGGTTCCTGCATTTATGAAGTTGTATAGGACACTTTTCCACTATCCTACATGCCGCCCGTTATTTTCAGCATGTTCATAAACAGGTTTATTTTTGTAAAACTATTAAAAGTTTTTGCTTTTCTCAAAAGCACTTCTAATCTTGACAGCTTATTCTTTCAAAGCAACGTTGTGTTTTTACCAAAAATTAGCAGCCAATTGCTATTCAAACCTACATGTTAGTACATAAAACATCAAATTATTGCTATATATCGAAGTTAAAATTTTAAGGTAAAAGTCCTAATTAGAAGTCTGATGATTTGCTGTTTCCCCACCCCAACTGTGAAATACTGGTCTGATATGATTCTGTTAGTGACATTTCCCTGGCAACAGTTACCTTAATAAATGAGGACTTGGCTTGCATTTTTCTACTTCCTGGTCTCTTCAAACACATGGTGCGGACTTCACAGATTAGTGGGGTTCAGTGGCTATGCCCAAGTAACCTAAATCCTTAAAAGATGGGAGAAGACAGGATAATTATTACGATTATTGGTAATTTGAATGAAATGTTGAGTGTAAATAAACTGCTTATGGATGGGACATTGTAACCTCTCACAAGATCCTAGTTGATGCTCATCTCATGGTTATTTTCCAGTTACTACTGACCTTTAGAGACTTACCTACAACTGTGTCTTTAATTCTTAGGCATCTTCTCTCCATGTTGCATTCTTACAAAGATTCTGGAGAGGAGGAATGTAACCAGACATGCGCTGTGATTTTTCTTCCCCCATCTTTTAAAAATTAAGCTTATTCTAACCTTAAGTAGAATGCTCAGAGTTGACATTAATCTTTCAACCTTTTTGGTTCAATCCTCCCTAACTTTATTTCTAAAACAGTATTTTCCCCCCTACATTAGAAGCTCAAAGTATCGCTTAACCCATGTTCAGAATTAGGATATGAGGTCTGGATAAGTGAGATAATTACGTAAAAGTACCATGTCACCTGTAAAGAACCAGATATATGTAATATATATTACTAATTCATTCTAGAGATTTATTGATTTCATATTCTGATCCCATAATATCTGATCCCTTTGGTGCTCCTTCTGATTGAATCTCTCATATGGGCTTATGATCACGTACCTTTCTCGTTGAAATCAATTATCGGAATGGAGAGATGGTATGAAAAAAACCATTATGGTTAATCAAGATGTAGCATGATCATCTTTCTCTGTCTTCCGTTCATTTTTTCTGTTGGTTGAATGAGCTCACTCAGGAGGAGTAAAGATTTTAAAAATAATAAATGGTTTTCCGAAGCCGTATCATTAATTGAGTATTTCTCTTATCTAAGTCAAGTGTTGGCAAATTGTTGCCTACAGGCCAAATCTGGTCCCACAGCCAATGAGCTGTGGGTGGTTTTTACCTTGTTAAAGCGTTGATAAAAAGGAAGAAGAATATCTACGTAAAATATTTACTCTCTGGCCCGACAGCAAAGAAAATATGATTTTTTGATCTAAGTCTTTAATTTCCATCTCATTTGGAACCTATGTTCGGTTTATAGGTTTTTTAAAAATTGATTTAACACTTCCATTTTTAAGATATTGTCTACATACTATTTCCTTATTAAATATATTTGCCATGGCCATTTGCCATGTTTTATCATTGCCTCTGAAATAATGAGACTATCCTAGAAGTCATCATTTTAGCTTATGGTTTTTGACCCTTAGCTATTTGTTTCCACCCGTCTCCCTTGTCAGCTTGGGTAGTGCTCTTTTCAGTCCGAAAACTGGCTCCTCTGTCTTTCTTGGATGTAGTTTGTATATCTTCAGCTATCAGTACCTTAATATTTATCCGATTCTTTCATTTGGATATTGGGTTTCCCAACACATTTTGCTCCTCAAATTAATATTTTTCAGATCCTCAAAAGAAAGATTCAGAGACCAAGACTTAGCATCACGTGACAGAGACAGGAATTCAAGAGACAGATCACCTCGTGACAGAGACCGAAAAGATAAGAAGCGGTCCTATGAGAGCGCTAATGGCAGATCAGAAGACAGGAGGAGCTCTGAAGAGCGCGAAGCAGGGGAGATATAATTAGCTGTGTACATATCCTCAATCCTTAAGCTTCCTATGGAGTTACATACTATTGTTTAGTTTACAGCTGTTGGGGGTGACAGTGAGCAGTTCCAGACTCTGATCCAAATAGGCTAGATGCACAGTATCTAACTCGATCTGAACTGAACTTGTTTTCCCTGATGAAGCCTAAAACTACATCCATAGTTTCTGGTGAACCTGTAATGCGATTCTGAAAGTACAGTTTTATATAATAAGATGCCGATATCTTTATTCTTTCTAGTAGGAGTGATAGTGAACGAATTGTGTTGCTTGCCTTGGGAATTTTTGAACATTTGTAAAATGCTGTCTTCCTTTCTAGTCCACAAACAACAGCTATCAGAATTTTTCTTTTTAATTCTTCTTCCTTTGACTTTTGTATTCCCTTATACCTCCACCCTCTAATTATAGGAGAAAGGGGGACCAGGGAAGCAATATAACTTCTGTTCTAAGGTTCTGTTCCATTATGAGCTGACTATAGAGCATTTATACTGGAAAGTGTGCTGGAGAAATTTAAATACTGGGAGCTTTTGTTTTATGGTGCCTATTTAGAGTTGGAAGTTGAACAGCTGTTGCATTACATACTTTGCTTTTTTATTGAACTTTTGAAATCCAACATGTCTTGATTTTTCTGTTCTATTGAATTGCTATGTTCAGGGTGTTTTGAAAAGGGGGGTGGGGCAGGGACTCTTTCATAAGCACTTGTTTTATTTTGTGTGTGTGTGGAGTATAAAGGCTACAACCTTATTGTAAAAAATAATAAAATGAAACAATCACCACCACCATCATTAATCTGTAACTTGTCTAGTAAATTGTCACGAACTATTGGCTGTGGGCATTTCTTCTGTTATATCATTATTAGTGCCTTACTGTGCAAGGCACCAAAGGAAATAAACACATACTTGTCAAGATGAACTGTTGCTCCACCTGGTGCACCCAGGCCCCTTGCTGACTGGATCCCAGCGCTTTTAGGGCTGCCTGGGACAATGGCCACAGAAGAGGACTAGACCTGCAAAAGAAATTGGGTTTTCTGGTTTTGTGTTTTTCATTCCGCAAACCAAAATAAAAACATGGTGTCATCAATGTAATGAGCATAACAATTTCTGCACTGAAGAGCTATGTACCTACCAGTGATTTTAAACAGTAGTGGGCAGGTTTCGCTTGTGATTCTTGAAAATCAAGGAACAAAAATACTTCAGTGAAATTAGGGTCTGTGTTACAATTAATGAACATTACCTTCCAACAACTGTCTTTGGTCCCTTAAATGTGACAAATTCAAGATGATTGAGGTATGTGTGCCAAAGGGGAAGTAGCAAATTTGCATCTGAAAGAGACACTCACCAGGTTTACCATGTTGTGCATCTGTAACGAAGGTTTTCTACCACACTTGGTTCCATGTATTCCAGTTTCTGTAGAATTTAATCTGAGACCCATCGCTGTCAGTGCCCCATTCTCTTTTATTCTTGGTTCCTAAGAAATTGTTTTCTATCTACTATGTTCCTAGTTGTCTGCTCTGTTCTAACTCCTTTTAAGCACCGTGGATTTAATACCTTGGGGTATGTAATAAGACCAAAGAAACCGGTTAAGCTGGTGGGTGCAAGAATATTGTGACCAAACTCCAAAACGTTGGAAAATAGGTTTTAGCATTGTTTCTGTAGCTGGAATTTACTACCTGGTATCTAATTGTAGAAGTGTGTGTTAGCTGTTAATGCACTTGTGATTTGTAGGCAGGATAGGCGACACAACCATCCACAGGGCAGCAGTAGTCCATAAAGGACATCCCCATCCCAGGCTGGGCTGCCATGGTGGATCACGTCAGTTGCAGGACTCTCTAAATGAGCAATCCCATTTTAAAAATCCTTTTAGAACAATTCTGTTGCTTAGGTACTTCTCGTATTTGGACTTTGGGGCGGGGGGAATCTACAGTTCTTATCATCACCCTTAAGTCAGAGCGGCCTCTCTGAATTAGAATAACCCTAAACCTCAGTACCTTTTAGAATACTGTTATGATTCAGGTTACTGAGCAGATGTCCTCCACCCCTGTTTTCTAAGCTGTATGCCCCACAGCTACACAGACCTTAATCCCCACATTTTCTAGAGCAAGGAACATGATGGGGAAGTCAGTGTTCTCTTAAGTGGCACCACCTGGTGTGGGGGTGGGGGAGATGGTAGCAGAGTTGTATTTGCCTCGTCCCACAAATACAACTAGGTAACTAGTGAATCATCTCCAAATACCCCAGAAATCAACCTCGAGACTGGCCAAAAGAAAAAAAAAATGCTAAAGATAAGGAAGATACCAAATCGAAGGTAGGAAGCACAGAGCTTAGTTTGGGGGAGAAATGGATCCTGGCTGCTGTGGAGGGGAGTATGAAAACGGAACATTTCCTCATAGCTATTGGTTTGGTAAGTGAGAGGGGATTAATCTCTCGACTTCTTGCACTGCTTTGGGGTTTAAAGCCTGAAGTTTTTGAGTGTTGGCAGGCTGGGCTCCTGGGGAGTCCAGTCCAGTGGCATCAAGGCTACTCTTGGAGAAGGCAGGCAAACAGTCTGGGGACATACAGCTTGGAAACAGCAATTTGAAGAGCGTCAGTGGAAGCCAGTGGGAAGATGATTTGTTCTTCTCAGAGTGGGCCCAAAGGTAATGTTCACAGAGACCTCTCCAATAACAAAGGAGCTGGCTGGTGCTGTTACCCTCCCGTGCCCCTCAGTATAAATACAAGAGTCACCTGCAGGAATGAGTGAAGTATAGTCACTGGCTGCGGGACTTGCTCATAGTCCCATCCCTCTCGTGCTCCAGTAGAACTGCCCCTCTCAGTCAGGATTGTTTCATTCCCAGGCTCATCATGGGCTCCCTCGTCCAGAAGACCAGCACAACGCCCTGCCCACACCATGTGTCCCAACCACAGTTTTGCAGGGTCTCAGTTCCACTGCAGGTGGTGACAGGTTTCATCTCACAAGGAGACCGGAACACATCTAACTGAAACTCGACGGCTAAAACATTCAGGTCAGGGACCAAACACTGTCCACAGCAGACAAGGAAGCTTCTGCAGATGATGGGCCCCAAGAACAAAGGAGCCAGAACACCAGCAGAACACAGTACATGTGAGAGACACCCTGAGGCACCAGTCCCCGGAAACTGCATGATCTCTTCATAACTCCTAGTATTCTCAGCAGCCGGAGACCTAACAGGCTAGTCCACAGAAATGAAAGACAAATTTATCACAAATGAATGAACAAGTTATGGCTATGGCCAGAGATTTAAGCAAAATAGATCAAAGTAAGACACCTGTTGAAGAATTTAAAGCTGTGATCATTAGGGTACCCACTGGGCTTAACAAAAGCATGATAGAGATCAGTGAGACCTTTATGACCGAGATTAAAAAAAAGTTTTAGAACAATCAGCAATGCGTTAATGATTTAGACTAATGGAAAGTAATCAAGTTAAAAGAAAAAAATTCTGGAAAACAAGACTAGACATAAGGAACTCAATGACTCCATCAAGCGAAATAGTCCCAGAAGAGAGAGAAAGGGAGGCAGAAAATTTCTTTGAAGTAGTGGCTGAAAACTTCCCTAACCTGAGGAAGAAAACTTACATCTAGATCCAGGAAGCACAGAGAGAGAACTCCCATCAAAAACACAACAAAAGCAAGCCAACACCAAGACATACTGTAATTTGCAAATTAAATTTGCAAAATGTAGTGATAAAGCAAAATATCTTAAAAGCAGCAAAGGACTCTTAGTTACATGGGAAAACCCATAAGGCTATCAGATTTTTTTCATCAGAAACTCTTCAAGCCAGAAGGGATTGATGGTATATTCAAAGTGCTGAGTGGTACAAATCTGCAGCCAACAATGCTCTATCCAGCAAGGCCAACATTACAAGAGAAAGTTCCACAAAAACTAACATTCATGACCACTAAACCACCCTTGTGAGAAATACTAAAGGGGACTCCGTGCATAGAAAAGACCCAAAGTGACAGTATGAAGGTAGGAAATACAAATGTAGTAAAAATGACTGTTTAAAAAAAAAAAAAAAGACCCTGGGTGGTTCAGTTGGTTGAACATCCGACTTGATTTCAGCTCAGGTCACGAGGTCACAATTTGCAGGATGCGAGCCTGTGTGGGGCTCCACACTGACAGCACAGAACCTGCTTGGGATTCTCCCTGTCCTTCACCCCTACCCCCACTTGTGCTCTTGCTCTCAAAATAGGGGCGCCTGGGTGGCTCAGTTGAGCATCCAGTTCTTGATTTTGGCTCTCTCCCTTTCTGCCCCCCCCACACTTGCTCTCTCAAAATAAACAAACTTAGTAATTAAAAACTTGAGAAAAATGAGTCAAGGAATTCACAAAATAAAAGGATGAAAGAATGTAAAATATGACAGCATATATCTGAACTATGTGGAGGACTGGAGTCAAGAACAGGTCGGGGCGCCTGGGTGGCTTAGTCGGTTAAGCGTCCGACTTTCGCTTAGGTCATGATCTCCCGGATCGTGGGTTCGAGCCCCGCGTCGGGCTCTGTGCTGACTGCCAGCTCAGAGCCTGGAGCCTGTTTCAGTCTGTGACTCCCTTTCTCTCTGACCCTCCCCTGCTCACGCTGTCTCCGTCTCTCTCCTAGAAATAAATAAAACGTTAAAAAATTAAAAAAAAAAAAAAAAAAAACAGGTCAAACTTAAGCAGCCAGCAAGTTAATATAGACTACAGTATGTGGAAGATGTTATGTGCAAACCTAATAAAGATGCAAAGAATAAAGAGAAATCAAAATCATTGAAGCAAACCATGGAAGAAAAGGAATCCGAGAAAATCTCTACAACCCCAGAACAAGTAATGAAATGGCAATAGATTCTTAGTAATAATAACTTTCAGTGTAAATGGACTAAGCACTCCACAATCAAAAAAGACATGGTGACTGTTCAAAAAAAAAAAAAAATACACAGCTATATGCTGCCTACAAGAGACTGATTAAACATTTAAAAAAAAATGTTTATCTTTCGAAAGAGACAGAGTGCAAGCAGGGCAGGGGCAGAGAGAGAGGGAGACATAGAATCCAAAGCAGGCTCCAGGATCCGAGGGTCAGCTCAGAGCCCAGCATGGGGCTTGAGCTCCCCAACCGTGAGATCATGACCTGAGCCAGAGTTGGACACTTAGCCAGCTGAGCCACCCAGTCGCCCTAAGGTTTTTTGTTTTAAGTAATCTCCACTACCCAGCATTGGGCTCAAGCTCAACCCCAAGCAAGATCAAGAGTTTCGTGCTCCACTGACTGAGCCAGCCAGGTTCCCCAAGAGACTCTTGCAGACTTAAATATATTTGCAGATTTCAGAGTGAGGGTGTGGAAAAATATTTATAATTAAAATGAATACCAAAAGAAAGCTGGAGTAGCAGTACTTACATCAGACAAAGTAGACTTTAAAAGAAAGACTGTTGGGGTGCCTGGGTAACTTAGATGGTTGAGTGTCTGACTCTTGATTTAAGCTCGGGTCATGATCTCACAGTTTGTGAGATCGAGCCTTATGTCCAGTTCCATGTGCCTGCTTGGGATTCTCTCTCTCCATCTTAAATAAGTAAACTTAAAAAAACTTAACAATTGTAAATCTTTCTGCATCCAACATGGGCACACCCAATTACATAAAACAAGAATATAAAAGAATTGATAACAATACCATGTTAGTAGTTAACACTTCACTTTTATCAACGGACAGATCAT